GGTTGGGCCTTTTGAAACATCCAAGAGCATCTGATCCGTGAAGTACATCCCCATCAATCCCCATCTCCATCCCTATCTCTTGGGTCTATCCTATTACCAGTAACCGTGGATGATGATGGTGAGGTGGCATGTCTTTCTCTAAAATAGTGATCATCTTCTTTACTACTTGTATTGTCACGTTAGGAAATCGGACGGACCCCACCAACCATCCATCCATCTCGCCTGCACCACCGGGACTTCTCGAGCTCCGCACCGGGCCCAGCGCTCCCGCCGCACGCAGCGGCTTCAGCGAGCTCGACTTCGGGCGCCTCGGCCGAGCAGAGGGGGTTGACGGTGGCGTGTAGGGTACCTCACGCGCACGTATGGCACACCTCCCAAGCCGTTTAAGAGTTACAATGGATTACCTGACGTAGTAATATATACATTATGTTTCAAGGAAGACGGCAAAAACAAATAAAATTGCAAACCAGTAAGACACATGACGAACCAATACGTTCAAAGCCAATCAAAAAAAATACTGTAAACATGCAAAAGCAGACCTGGAAACAGTCTGATCTTTTTGATTTCCAGTCCAAATGCATAGAACTGTGCATGTCAAAGGCCGACAAGCGAAAAGAAAAAAATGTAAATAGCAATCAAAAACGCTTGGCCAACCAATCATATGATACGATTTGCATGATCGAAGGTTTGAAAGAGTCAAGTTTTCTTTGCAATAGGCAGCCTCTGCTTGCGATGGTGGATTTGGAGTACTGTCTCTTAATCGAAGATTTCTGGCCGGACCACCGAGAGTCACAAAGTTTGCTTCTACAGAGAACGCACTGCGATGCTTGGAAGACACTGCCAAATGGGCTACCACCGCTTCTTTATCTATCTACATTTGGGCACCTTTCCTTTGAGGGGTACGCGGGAGGAGTGCGAAGTGGATGTCTGGCAAGTATCCGCTGAAACGTTTTTGCTTGTGAACCCCATGAGTCAAACATGCGTTTTAAAAATGCCGGTTGTCACAACCTATATTGTTTCTTGTGTCTTCACATGGTGCCCTTTCACGCACTTTCACGCTCCCTTTTCTTCAGTGGCCATCTCGACGTGAGTTGAGTTGCGCCTTTGCATTGAGCCTTGGTTACAACACCGATGGGCCAGGAACCATGCCTTAAAGTAAAACAACTTAAGCTCTAACTTGTGTCCACGGGACTGTGTGATCCGGTTGTGCATTGATCTGATGCGAAGCTTTGAGCAGCGAAGTAGCCAGTGGTGTCTGGTGCGAGGCTTTGTATATGCTGCTATGCCTATGGATTGACGCTAGCGTGGCCGTACACAAGCAAGGGCTCAAGGTGTCCTACGCACACAACTTCACGTCTTGTCCCCTTGGAAACATGTACCTCAGAGATGACACTCGTGCTCTGACCGTGGCAGATCTATTTCGCCTGGCGCGGCGCATGGTAGTCCGAAAGAACAGGATTTTTTTTTAATCTGCCATGGGCGCGGCCGATCTCGTGGCCCTCCCGTAGGCGACGCCATCGACACCTAACTACGCCAACTACTCTAAACCACCACCCCCGGTCTGCAGCCACCTCCAAAATTTTGTTTTTAATATCTCTGTGTGCGCCTACCCCTTCCAAGAAATGGTCGTTAAAAATGGTCATGGCCAGAGCGAGAACATGTTCGGTCCATTTGCCTCTTCTCACACCAGCCCGGAACGGGCCCCCCAGGATTTGCGGTTCAAGGAAGCGATTGTATGACACAATCCGGGATGGGTGTCTCATAGGCCTTCTAAGGATGTGTCCCAATAACTTCAACTGGCGGAGCCGTATTTAGTGACTCAACAGTGTTTCACGCAACTGCATTCTAACTTTGTGGTTACTGACCCTGGTACGACCTTGTTGCGTGGCCCCCCAAGTGGTAGCAATAGCTCGCAAGCATCAATAATGGAAAGCATCAACATTTTGTAACTGGGAGTCGGTGAGCCATAGTGTCGAGAGGTTGTACATAAGTTTGGATACAACGCATGCTTTGTAGGTATGAAGTTTTTTACGAACCGATAGCCCTGCATGTCTCCAAACACGCTTTAACTTCTGGAAGACCTGCCTGGCTTCACCTATTCGCCGCCGAACTTCTGGCCAGGTTTTCCAGTTTGGTCAATAAGCCCCCCCAGATAAACTATAGAAGAAACTTGCTGAACTAAACTGCCATCTCGAAAGGCAATGGAAGCGTCACAGTTGTAAAGAACTAGCTCAGTTTTGTCCATGTTCAGATGCAAATTGTACTTAGAAGCTTCATCTTGCACGTACCACAACAGATCCTGCATGTGTTCCCTTGTCCTTGCTATGAGTACTGTATCGTCTGCAAACTCTACATCGAAAAAGGGGATTTGAGGGGTCACTGACAAGGGGTGTTTGGCAAGGTACTTTGTTTGCACATCATAGAACAACACTCTTTGGAGAAGAATAAACAGCAGTGGGCTTAGAGTGCATCCTTGACGGATGCCGCTCTTCTGCTCCTTGCAGCTAGAGGTGTGGTCATCCATTACTACTTCAAAAAGAGGGTTACTAACTAATTCTTTGACCACTGCGCACATGTGATTGGGCACCCCAAGTCGCTGCAACGCAAGGTGCAGTGCAGGTGGCCTGATCTTATCGAACGCCTTGCTCCAGTCTAGGCCTTGCTCCAGTCTAGGAACATTAGGTAGAGAACTTGAAACTTCTTAGCATCGACTAGGTCCTGTAGCCGCCTGACTAAGTAGATGGCTTCAGATGTGCTTCGCACCTTCCTAAATCCAAATTGCAGCTCTCGCACCCGGTCATCAAGTCCCGATGACAATCTATTTGCGATGATGCGAGCGTACAGTTTGTAACAAGTTTGGAGCAAACTGATAGGTCTATAATTGGCTGGGTCAGTTGCAGAACCCTTCTTAAAGATACCTACCACTTGGGCAAGTTTCCACTGTTGGGGGCTAGATTGGGAGTCCCAACACAATTGGAACAATGAAACCAACGCATCCAAGCCTCGTCCCTCCAGGTGTTTCCAAAAGTCATTTGGGATGTTATCTTTGCCAGCTCATTTGGCTGCTTTTGCCTGTTTTACTGCTAATTTCACTTCGTCTATAGAAATGGTCGCTTCAGAAATGGTCGGTGGATTTGAATAAATGGTTGCGGTATCTAGTCCCTGCGACGGCCCAGCTTCCTGCCATTGCCGGGTGGCTAGGTGAGTAGCGAAAACTTCTGCATTGCTTGCGGCTTGTCCCGAGACTGAATTGTCAGTGAGTGTGAGCGCTCTGTGCGGGAACGGCTTTTTGAGATTGGTGATAGGTCTCCAGTCGCCTGTACTAAGCTGCACATCTAACCAGTTAGGTTTGTCAAGTTTGGCTGCCTTTTTGATTGCCTTGTTGAGTTCAGCTACTTGCGCTAGATCGCCTTGCAAGCGAATTTGCCCCCTTCTCTCCAGAAGATTCAAGGTAGTTTGAGTAAACCATGGCTGTTTGGGTTGGAGTGTTTGTTTTGGGATATGTTGGTCAATTGCTTGGGTATACAAAGTACTTAGGGCGCCCCATTGACCGGTAGGGTCCTGGTGCAGTCGCATTGAGGTGAGCATAGTATCAATCGCTCCGTTCATAGCATCGATTTGGGCTGTCGTTGCTTGTTGGAATTCCCAGCGTGGTCGCCGCGTCAATTTGCGTCTGGCACCGAGTTTGATTTGAAGGCACACAACTGAAGGAAAATGGTCGGAATCCAGATTTGCTCTTGGCTGACTATGAATATGCTTACATGAGTTACGCCATCGCCGAGGTACAAGGCAAAAGTCCAACTGCGCAAAATCAGCGGGATCCCAAATTGCATTGGCTGGAGGCAGCCAATGGGTACCAGGTTCTTTAGAAGTCGCTTGCTTGGCTGCCGGCTGTTGTACCATGTATTGGCCACGAGCAAATCATTGGCACGACAAAAATTGACAAGTAGGAACCTATTATCCGTGTCTTCCCCCACAGCTGCCCACCCTTTCCCAAACATGTAAAGTCCTAGCACGTCCTCTTCGCCATGCAGTTTCCCCTGACATCGCGAGTTAAAGAGTTAAAGTCCCCCATAGGCAGTCGCCTGCTGCAATTGGTCAAAATGGTCTCGACGTTCATCTTCTGGTCGGGCATTTTGTGGCACATAGGTGTTGATGATAGTTAATTCCCCTCCTCTTATAAGCAAAGAAATACAAGCAATCCGGCTGTTAACGAAAGATGTGCGCAAAAGTGCGTTTCTGGCTGTCGGGGACAACACGAACCCTACTCCTGCATACTCTTGCTGGTTTGCATTTTGCTGTGCTGACTGTCAGGAAAGTAAAATTGTCAACAACATACTGGGTTGTATTTTTGGACCTTGTCTCTTGCATGCATAAAATGTGGATGTCGTGCTTACGCATATGCTCGATAAGCTGTCTGTGCATAGTTGCTTTCAAAAGGGAGCATTTGAAGGTAACTATCTTAAGCTTGAGTCCATAAGTTAGTGACGCTTGTGTTCCACTGGCTCTGTTGAGGTTGCGGCGCTCCTCGTAGAGGCGCGTGCTTGAAGCTAGACGCGCGTCTTTCAAGGGCAATGAGGTTTCAGTCTTACGTGTACGGCCCGGGAAGTGGGCGCCCAACCCACCTCCCCCATTGTCCTCCACTCCGCATAGCATGTGTGATTTACACCATCGGTATCTGCATCTGTGATCGTTGCGTTTTTGTTGGCAGTTGCAATGTCTTTGTAAACGGGCGGCTTCGGACCTGAAACCTCGCTTTTTGCTGGACCGGTTGCGCTCTCTCTGTTTTCGCTGGGGCGTATGAGGGTGATGGGAATCATTGTCACTGGTGTGTGCTGTCAAGAAATTGTCAATAGAAATGGTCAAAGGGTCAGCGCCCCGCGGTACGCCCGGCTCGCCTACTGGGCGGCGAGATTTGGTATCCCAATTATAGAAATGGTCGTTAAAAGGTGTCTTGGCCGAGAATGAGTCTGATATGTGGGGTGATGGTTCGCTGCGTCCTACTGGCGCCTGTGCCCCGACTGCTTGCCCTCACCTTTGCGCTGCCCTCTCACGTCACGATGTCCCCCGTCCATGTCCTCATCCTCATCTCTGGCTTGGGGTTGCTTCCGCTGATGCTGCAGCGTGGCGTACTGTGTGTCAACGGCTGCTGCTGTCTCCGCCGGGGTGAGTGCCTCGATGTGCATCCTTGGGGCTTGTAGCCGTCTGCTCGTTTGGTGGTTCCCTTTTGTCCGCCCCACTGCAGCCATTCTGCTGCGGTTTTGTCTGCAAACTGATCTTTCATGGCTTCGGCCACGTAAAGGGTGATTTGTGTTTTGTCATGCTCTGCCGTTTGCATGCTGAGTATCCACTCATTGCTGTGCCACACGGAGCTGAGCTCCCATGTGGGCTTGTATCGTTGTGGCCTGCCGGTGAGCTGTGAAAAGATTGCAATTGCACAGCGGAGGGGTTGGTCAGCTTCTCGCTGGTATTTGGGGATCTGGTGAGCTCTGTCAAACGAAGTTCTTTCCGACCTTTCTTTGCAACACCTGGCACTGGTGCCAAGTTGCTCTCCAGGGCGGACTCGCAAAGCTGCTGATATGCATGGTGAAAATCATTGCGTCTCACTCCAAAGAGAAATTGCTTTGCAGAAACATCTTTTGCACTGTAAAAAGCTGCATGCCGTTGAAACTGCTGTGAAGCTTGTTGCACAAGAAAACCTGGTGTTTCAACTGCCATGAATGCTAACAAACCCTCTGAAGTAAAAGATGAAGCCTCCTTTGATCCAATCCGCAACCGTTTTGCTTCACGCTCAGCTGCTTCCGACGGATCGTCCTCTGTAATAGTCTCCATTGGTGGAGAGACTCCTGCTGCTGGTGGTGGTGTATGGTAATCATCAAGATCAGGGTCAAACTCTGGTCCTGCAGGTATGCTCACCGGAGGCGGCGAAGGCTCCAAACCAAGAACTCTCTGTCGTTTCTTCTCTCGAAGCCTTTCTCTCTCTGCAGACATTCTTCTTGAAAAACTCACTGCTCTTGATCGATCGTTTGACATCTCTTTCTGACTGCGCATCCTTGCCATGCTTGTCGAAGTGGACGACAAATCCTCCACCTCTGGAGCTGGCTCGGGTGGAGCTGCATCGTCAGGCTCAGCTTCCGCTGGGGCATCAACTGCAGGCATCTCCTCAATCAGCGACGGTGCTTCGCTGGGAGAGTAGGGCATCTCTCTATCCAATGCAAACGGCTGAGGTTCCTCCTCATTTTGAAGTGGCATCGGATCAGGCTTTGGTGCTCGTCTCAAATCCAAAAATCCTGTACCACCTGCTGCCGGCATAGCATCAATGAGTTCAGTCTCTTTTGCATCAATGAGCCATTGTTGTATCTCATCATCAACTGCTAAACTCAACTGCTCTGGAGATACCGCCAACAAAATGCCTCTGCGCGAAACCCAAACCGTGCTTTTGCCTTCATGTCCAACAACCCGACCAACTCCTCTCCAACAATTAACAATTGGGCCCAATTGCAAATGGACCTCTGGAAGGTCGAACTTGTCTCAACTCTGCACGGTGCAAGGACTCACTATTGGCGACGTTGGCAAAGCCTTCGCGAGCCGCCATCCTCAGCTGATGCTTCCAGTAAAAACGGGTGCCCGGAGTGTCAGCTGCTGCTAGCGCCCCAATCCTGCAGACCTCACCGTCATCTGTCAAAGAAGCTGGAAGGCGAATCTGTCTGCCCAACACCCATTGGGCCGGAGAGAAACCGGCTTTCCTACTCAGATCATTCTTGGCCTGTGTGGTGGCCGATGTGGCCCAAAGAACTTCATCTCGACCACTGATCTGTTGGCTCCAGGAAAGCTTTCGGAGTATCGACTTCCAAATTCCTCCATGCCTCTCGACTCGACTTGACCAATCTGCCAGGGACTTGCTCTAGCTGAGGTGCGAAACTCCCAACCATGATTGTCAAAATCTTCTGCCAAATCAGCTAAGAAATACTTTGCACGATCTGTCACAACACCACGCTCTGGGTATCCACACCAACCGATCCAATGTGAATGCAATGCTTCCAAAACATCTGTGCTTGTTGGATTGCGGTGGACATCCGGCAACAATGCTACCACTTGGAATGTAGTTGCCTGATCTAGTATGTTCAACCATGACTCCAAGTTCACTTCCATAAAGAACCAAATACAATGCTCTGTCTTTTGCCACCAGGGGTCGAATCTGTGCTGCTGCTGCCATGCGGTGCCATTCCTCCCATTGAGTGGACAATGCTTGTCCCGATCCCAAGAGAAGGTAGGACCCGCGAAGGGGAACTTCTTGTGGACCTGCATGTGGCTGTGGCTTCTTCATTCTCCGAGCCGTTCTTGAAGCTAAGATCAGGGTGACCTCAGCATGGGCGGATTCATGTGCTGCCCATTCACGGCCCAGTTCATCTTCCACATGAATCCTCAACCGTTCTCCAACACCTTGCTCAATCATCATATCAAGCGTCCTCTGCAAAAGATCCTTGGAAACCGGATCCTCAACCACTGTCCAGAACCGTCGCTGCAGCTGTCTGGTCCTGACCCGCCGTCGTTTCAGCGTCTTGTCATAGTTCTTGACCTTCTGTTTCCGAACAGGTGGAGTCTCCAAGGCTTCTCCTTCACCTACCCCGCTCTCCTCCAGCAGGGGTTGGAGATCTCTTGGACCCTCACCCTTAAACCTGAACTCTGTTCGGCCAGTCCAGTATTGATCTGCTTGCCAGCGATTGTCCAGGTGATTGCGCATCCAGCCACCATCCTTGACCTGTTTGCTCTCATCTTCAAAAACCATGTGAGTTCGGCGGCCATCTAGTAGTTGCTCAAAAGGAATAGGCATCTCCATGGACGCTGTAGGTGTGAACGGGATCACATGAACTCTGAGCAGACCCTCCACGCTCCAGAAATCCTCTGTTTCTCCTGGATGCTCTGAAACGCCCATGGGGTGGTCCTCCATCTGCTGTGGCTCCTCAAAATCATCAACTTCCTCATCTCCTGCTGCAAAAACTGCCGGTGTAGCAACGTTGGCCACATAGTCAATCTGCACGCTTTGCAAAATCCCTCGGCAGATTGCTCGACACAACTCCTTGCGATAACTCGCGGCCAACTTGGAGCGAAGACCGAATCTGTTGTGTCCAATGAGCTGTTGATGACTGCCCCACTTGCGCTGACAACGTTTTCCAAAAATATTGAGCACAACTTCATTGTTTGATAACCAACCTGTAGGCTTCTGGATCCTTCAAGCCATAGCGACATTGATCTCCAGTGCAAAACTTGGCAAGCCTCATGAGCCTCTTGAGGATGCCGTGCCAAACCCATGCCATGGAACCAAGGGGATTCTCCAACAAAAAGTGGCGACCCTGGGAGTGTTAAAAGAAACAAATGCGCGCAATCAACATCAATGTACGACGGCCCAAGGTGCTCCTCAAATGATCCCAATTGCGGCTGGGCGACAAGTTTGTGAGTAGACTCCAGATGCGACAGCCGAGGGCTATCAAAACAAGATATGGTCTGCGCTCATGCAAAACAGTCCACAACAAACCCTCACCATGAACTCAACAGGTCGTACCCATCTAAAAAACCAGTGGTTGAGAGTTCGTCCATCCGAACTCAGCTGCTGCTAAACGTGGCACACCAAAGTTGCCACCAAATGGTTCGAAGACCACTGTATTCTGAAAATCAACTGTGGCATGTTGTTCTGCTCTGGTCTATCGACGTTTCAATGCAACCCAAGTCCTGACATCTTGCTCTCGGATGTGTTGCGCTGATGCTGCCAACTCTTGCACTCGCCGCTTGCTCAACTGACCGCAAGGGTCTCCGGTTTTAATGCCTCTGGGCTCCAAACAAGGTGCTGCCTTTGAGCTGTTACAACATGGTTCTTCTGGAGGTAGAGGAAGATCTGCTAAAAACTGAAAAACACGACTCTTCATTGTAATAAACCAACAAATCCTCTTTCTCCGACACAGCTCGTGGCTCATGCAGCTTGGTTGGTTGCAGGGTTTCATCCGCATCAAAAGCAGCAAAAATGGCCAGGTGGTTGGTTTTGGTGGTCATCAAAGGCAAACGAATACCCAAGGTGTGGACCTCAACAACCTGGTCTTTCAACCGGATCACCATGTCCAGTGCGGACATGGAAGCAATAGACAACAGCAAGGGAGTGGTGCCTTCCGGAACTTCACCTAATTAGACTTCCCCATAGAAGCCCTTGAGGTAAATGGGAATTTTCCAAACAACCAGCTTACTGTCCGAGGCACTGCCATTGGCGAAATGAAACATCTTGCGGCTCGCCGTAGGCTGGCATTCAACTCCTGTCGGCAGGCTCTTCTGGTAGTGCACGGGAATGGAGGCATGACGCGCAGGCAGTGTCAAGTAAAGCCACTTTGCTCTCGTCAAAATGACGGGGTGATACTGTATCATCAACCAGCATTGAATTCTGTGTGTCTTGGTGCGGAAAAGAAAACCATCAGGTACTGCAGTCTCTATACAAACTGTCTCATGCATAGCCTCGTGCTCCCCAATCATGAACGAGTGGAACACGGGTGAAACTGCTTCATGTTCTCCTCTAGCGCCCGCTGCTGGACGGGCTCTGTCTCTGCTGACGGCTCTCATACTCCTCAACAACATCATCGAACTTCCTGGTTCCTCGGCATCCAGCGTTGAATCGCGAGCATCCGAAGAACAAGCCGTCATCCCGCTTGTTGCGGCGGAGAACCATGGACTGACCACATGCTGGGCAATACCCAGAAGGAGCCATCTCGCCAACCTTGAACACTGACGGCACGCGAACGCCAGTGCGCGGATCCAGGAACTCCGTGTAGAGCCTCTCCTCTGCAGCGATGACAGCGGCCTCTGCAAGGCAGTCCTCCAAGTCCCTCCGAAAAAGACGTTCATCTGACAAGGAACGAAAGGTATCGGCGCCGTCATCATGGATCTTGCGCTGCGGAGGTGGTGCTTTCACTTTCGGCTCCCTTGGCGCTTCTGGTGCCTGCATACCATGTTGCTTCCGGCGGCTGTCCTTGTAGGTCTTGCGGTGATTGTCCATGACGGTGAAGGCCTCATTGTCATAGATCTCTTCATCTTGCGAACCTCCATCATCTGATGGAAGAGTATCATCAACTTCAAAGGCCTCCTCATCTTGCCCTAGCTCAGGGTCAAGGAACTCTTGCTCATCATCTTCCAGTGCAAAGGCCTCCTCGTCTCCTTCAATCTCTTCATCGTTCATTGCATGGGCATGGTGGCGCTTCTTTCCATAGCCCTTGCCTTTCTTGGAAGGTGGCTGATGATCACCTCGAGAGCGCGCTCACGATCATGAAGATCGAAATATAGGAGATGCGAAGAGCTTTCTCGATACCCTCAATGGTGTAGTTGCTCTGATTGGCCAGCAAAATTGATCGTCGCTCCTCTCGACCAATGTTCACTTGCTCCAAAAGGAAGTAGGCCCTCAAATCTTCTGACATCGACACGCCCTCGGCCACATCGATCAACTCTGACCAAGCTTGGGACCTGCGGCGCAAGAAAAGGTCAATTGGAGTGCCTCTCTGTCGATACATCTTCTTGAAGTAGTTGTCGAAGGCCTCCATCTTCTTCAATACACCGACCTTTTCTACCGACTGCAAGCAGGCGAAGACATGCTTGTAGCCGTCTTTCTCCTTCAGATTGACCGGATCCTCCAGCAACTCTTCACAAGCCCTCCAGGCCTCTCCATGGAGAGCATCGAGAGAGACGCTTTGCAAATCTTGATTGCTTCTTGTTCAAATCTCTGGCTTCCTTGGTGGGATCATTGCCCTCTCCTTCAAGGTTGTTGTAGGCGAAGAGGACACGGCGGCGGTACTCACGCATCAGATGGGGCTGCACCCCAGTGTAGTGAGGAATGCCGTCATCGTCCCTGTAGAAAGGCTTGCCAGATTGATCCATGGCTCAAAGGGTTGAAGCCGGGGTCAGCCCCGGCTCCGCTACCAGTGCGAAGTCGCGCAGCTCTTTTCCGCGACACACAAACACGAAGTATATGTGAAACCATTCAACATGTGCATCTAGCTCTGTGGATATATCTTGTAATGCATTCCGTCGCAACCACAGGCCGGACTGTCTTCGGGGCTCTTTGTCTGGTTCATGACATGGCCGCTTTATGTCGGACCGGTGCTGTATGCAAAGGCGGCGACAAACCACTGCATGCTGGGACATCTTCACACATAACAATAAAATCGAGGGGACAACGCTGAAATACCATGATGATCCATGATGCACTTTCGTGATAAACTTGGGGGACAACAGACTCAACAGACCCCTACTGGAGGCCCAATTCGTTTGTCCTTGTTGCTTTAAGGGGTGCTGCGAAGCTCGCACTGGGTTAGGTCTAACAGCTCGTTTTTGTTTGAAATGGAAGCCCCAACCCCACGCCACACCCGGGCCACCGCGCCGCTCAGACGTCCCAGCCGGAGCACTCCCGGAACTACCCCGCACTCGTGCACGGGGAGCACCTCCAAGGGATGAATGAGCTACGGATCGAGTGGCCCCTGGTTCGGAGGACTCAATCATCACCAACGTCACCAAAACCCCAGAACCGAAGAGTCCAACCTTCTCTTGTGGCAACATATGCATGCACCAAGCCCATGGGAAACCTCAATCTCTCAGAATTGTCACTGATTTTCGGGTGGCGGATTCAACAATTGGATGCGGATGAAATGAATATTTGTTTGCACTGCAGGAGACTTTGACTGGGAACCTCGTCAAGAAATTGAACGGGACAAGTTTTTGATGAATGACCTCTCTTGCTTGAAGGACGGCTTTCCCAAACAGAAGGGAGAAGCGCATGGGGACATGTATCATGTACCATTCCCCGTACGATCCCCGTGAGTGTCTCACTTCTCTCCGTCACGCATTCTTTATGAAACCGGACCAGCGTCTCACTGCTGTCCCAGCAAGTTCCAGTGGATGGGTCCAGGACTGAATCCCAATCCTTTGGATCACTCTTCAACCGTCTGTCATCTTCACCAAGGGCATCATGACATCTTAGGACCTGGGACATCATGGAACATCTCCCTTGTCTTGGATCTTTGGAATGCATCCAGAGGAACCACATATCTTTCGTCCATCTTGAGATCTCCATCCAGTTTCTCTCGTGCGGGTTCGGAACCGCCGATCGTCCGCGCGGCGGAGCCGGTGCCTTGTATGGGGCTGGGTGCCGGGGCAGGCGGCACGCCGGCACCAACACCTGAAGTCGGAGTGGGCATCCCAGGCGGCCCCGGCAACTTTCTTTCTTCTAGGGTGGAGTAAAGCACCTTCTCTAAAGAAGTGAAGCACCTGTCTTTCTGGGTGCTACATGGTGCTACTGTGCTACAGGACCAATTGGCCAACCCTGAAAATTCCTTACGAGTTTCGGGGTGTCATGGATTTCTAGATGGATCCAAAGGTTTTGGCAGGATGTTGCAGCCACCTGCAGTAGACTGTAGAGCACGACCCCCTGGTAAATCGGAGATACAGTTCTTCCAAAGTGTCTGCGCTTCATGGTCCATCGAGTCGATCAGGTCCATCGAATCGATCAGGTCTCGATTTGGCCTTCTACCAGCTTGGTGCTCGGCCAACCCATCTCGAACCCGGGTGGTTCTTCCTTCCGTTCTTCCCATCAAAGACCCACTGAAAACCACAAGAGTACGACCGGTACGGACCGGTCCGGGTGCCTGGCTGCTCCAGGACCTTGGCCTCCAGGGAGGCATTGAGCTGCTGCAGGGCACGAAGCAGGAAGTCCTGCGGAGTCGACTGCTGCGACAGCGCGTGGTGCCCGGACGGACCCGACGGACCCGGTCCGGCGGCATGGATGGATCCGTCCAGTCCGAGCCATCACATGATACAGCTGTATCTGTATGCGGATGCGTCAACTCTGGCGCCACTGCACCTTCCCGAAGGTGCACGATAAAAATGGTACCTCCGCACCACAAATCTAAACCAACTCCAGAGTGGGACATCCACTGGGAGTATTTTGTGGAAGACTACCAGCACCCTCCAAGCCCTGTGGTTTTGGACACCTCTGAACCTCTAAGAGGCTATTTATAAACACCTCTTGGAGGGTCCTGGTATATACACAATGATGCAGGCAATTCTCTCAGGAACCTTGAACTCACAACCTTAGGTCCAACTGCAGGATCTCTGCCCGACTTCGTTGGGCCCTCCCAACCTTCTCGGATCTCGGACGGAACGGACCGCGCCTGCGTGCGCATGTCCCGAGACTGCTTCGGCTCTTGTGCGGCAGCCTCCAAAAGGAGGAGAAAGCCTATCAAACTCTTCTATTCTGTCATGTATACAGTATAAATTAATCCATGTCACCGAC